AAAAAAAAACCTTTGAAATGACATGTATTAATTCATTTGTTCATCTTGTGGGTATATGTGTGCGAGATGGCATAAACCTGCCATCACTTTTTCATCCTCTATAAGTTTAATTTATTTGTTTAAAAATTGTATTTTTTTTTATGTGTGAGGTGTTTTGCCTGGATGTACGTCCATGCATTGCGCTCGTGCCTACTGCTCTCAGAAGCCAGAAGAAGGCATTGGATCCCCCTGAAAGTGGGGTTACAAATGGTTGTGAGCTATCATGTGGGTGCTGAGAATTGAAGCCAGGTCCTCTGGAAGAGTAGCCAGTGCTCTTAACTACCTGACCTATCTCTCCAGCTGCAACACCCTGTACATTTTAAAGTTGAACCAGAACTCCCTGGAGTTCTTGGGCAGCCACCGACGGAAGTTTGTGGGAGAATGGGGGGGGGGTGATCATTTCATTTCACATAGACAAAAGTAAGACAAGGTTCACCACACAGAGCACAACCAAACTCTCTGAGAGTAGAAGGGCAGTCCAACCAGTCCTTGGAGAGAATGCACTAAGTGCCAAAACTCTTTTCATGGATTATTATTAATTGTCAGACATCTTGTGGGGCAATAGATCTGTTCAGTGGGTACCAGGCACAACATCTGTGTAAGATAGGTTCTACTGCTGTCTCCCTAGGAGCCTAACTTGCCAAAGATCACATATGTAACAAGTTGAGGGTTTACACCTGGGAAGTGCAATCAGAAAGCCTTATTGATGATCTATTCTATTCATTCATTCATTCATTCATTCATTCATTTGTTCCTACTTACATTTTTAAATCAATGATGTCCAATGCCTCCTACATGTTAAAGATAGTTCTAGGTGCGCAAGCAGCCACCATATCTGTGAGCAATGGAAGGAAAAAGCACGTGATGCTTACATTCTAGAAGAGAAGCAATACTGTACATTGGGCAGGTACATGAAATGTTATTGAAATTGGTGCAATGGCTCACACCTTTCATACCTGTACTTGGGAAGCTGAGGCAGGAGGATTCCTTTGAGTTTGTGGCCAGCTTGGGGTACTGTGTGAAACCTTGTTCCAAAAGGCCCTCTGTCCTCTCCTATTAAAACATCATAGACAATGAATAGCATAGGGCCTAGAAGAGGTGTGGTGTGTGTGTGTATGTGTGTGTGTGTGTGTAAAATTCTGAATTGGGTGATGAGTCTTGCTAAGAAAGGAACATTAAATAAAGATCTAAGGAACTTATTCAGGAGCAAGCCATTCAGATATCTGGACGGACACAAGACGTGGAGTAGACAATTGGACGTGAAGAAGGAGCAGGAGAAGAACATTCTAGAAAATACGAGGAGTCCAGAATGTCTGAGTCTGACTGCGGTGTGAGTGAGCTATGAATGTAAATAGCCTTCAAAGCTGAAGGAAGCAGGATCCAAAAGGTAAGTGGGGCCGGGTGGTGGTGGCGCACTGGGAGGCAGAGGCAGGCTGATTTCTGAGTTCGAGGCCAGCCTGGTCTACAGAGTGAGTCCCTGGACAGCCAGGGCTATACAGAGAAACCCTGTCTGGAAAAAACAAAAGGTAAGTGGGAATGGATCTCGTAAGACCCTGCAAGGGGCAGGGCTTGGCCTTCTATTTGGCTGCAATGTAGTCATTTGGGTTGGGCCAGAGGAAAAACTGTGAAACCACCCAGTTTCCACATATGCACCCTTGCTTCTCTGTCAAGGAGAGGCTGCAAAGGGGCAAGGAAGCCATGCAAGAGACATTGCAGTGACCTGGGCACAGGTTAGGCTGGTTTGTCCTGGTGTGCACTAGACATGTGGCAAGCGCTTCAAGTCTAAGTTTATTGTGAAACCCCGAGTGGAAAAATTGGACAACGGGTGTGTGTACGAGGGCAGTCAGTTGTGTGATGCCCTGAGCTTTTCAGCCCGAGCAACTGAACAGTGGGGCCAGTGGCAGGGAAGGCGGGGCCTACAGAGGAACAATGTGTTTTTGTTCTAAGTGGAAGGGGTCAGCAGGGCTCAGTTCACAGATATTTAATTAGCGACACCTATTAGGCATCTCCAAAGGTGATGCTGAGGATCAAGCTGAGGGCACAGGAGAGGGGTCCTTCAATGTCGAAGTTCAAGGTCAATAGGGTAAGGTCTACTTCAGGGCAACTGAAGACATTGATTCACACACGACTTTGGCAAAATGATGATTATCAGAAAAAGACTAGACTCAAGGATGTCAGATTTAAAAATCCACCCCTATTCGGTTACTCTCAAATACTTACTTTGCTTTCTCTGTATTCCCTCCCGGTTTTGCCCACATGCACACACAATTGCATAACGTCGTTCTACCCTATTTGCTTGCCAGGAGCTCACAGACATTTCCTCTATGGCTCCTACGGTGCTTGTAGAGGATTTGAAAGGCTGGCAAAATGAGGGGCATGAAATACGCTAGAAACCAAAGTCGAAAAATCTTACGTAGCTTGATGACATACAGTAAGCTGTGTGCCTACAGTAATCTCTGTGCACAGTGACTCTTTAGGGGACTGAACTTTGATATGAATGAAGCCAGGCCACTCATGCACTCAACCAGGGAGAGATTCTAGAAAGGGGGGGGTCTGTGCAAAGGCCCAGGGGGGCAAAGAAAAGCACATGCTATGGTTTGAATGGAAAAATATCCCATATAGGCTTATAAACTTGAACGTTGCTTCTTTGGTGGCAGCACTCACTTTGAAGGTTGTAAAGCCTTTAGGACAGCAGTTCTCAACCTGTGGGTCACGACCCCCTCTGGCAAACCTCTGTCTCCAAAGTTATGTACATTACTATTCATAACAGTAACAAAATCACAGTTACAAGTAGCAACAAAAATAGTCTTATGGTTGGGAGGGTCACCATGATATGAGGAACCAGATTAATGGGTCGCTTGCCTTAGGAAGGTTGACAACCTCTGTGGGGCTTAGCTGAAGGAAGTGGGTTGTTGGGGTAGGGCACTGGAGTGGTAGAAGTAGCCAATTATACCGGTTTCCTGTCCCCCTTCTCCAGCTGACTGCACCACTAATTCCTGCCTCCGTGGAGGGTGTCTTCCAGGCCTCAAGCCTTCTCTGCTGTGTTGGATTGTGTCCTGTAAACCATGAGCCAAGATCAATCTGTCCTCCTTTGCAAAGCCTCTGCCAGGTATTTGCTCATAATACTCAGTAAAGTAAGGAGGCTGGAAGATTTACTACACCTGCCAATTAAATAAAAATTAGTTGGTATGGTCTCTGCACACACACACACACACACACACACACACAACCCTTTAGGTGTATTGAAGCATAGGCACACTCTTTCTCGGAGGTTTTCTACCAAGAAAGTATCAACCATACTTAAAATGTTGATCTTAGTGAACCTCAGACATTTTTAGAGGTTAAAAAAGTTTAATTTGGGCCTACTACACAGAAACTCCAGTCCGATCTGCTTTGTCCGTTCTCGTTAACCTTTCACTGACACCTTGTTTTTAATTTTACGGAAAAGGTTATGGATCTAAGGAAGGTAAGCACCCTGCTCTAAAATTTCAGCAAAAGCCATCGCTCCCATCAAAGACTCCAAGAAAACAGCTCCACATGCACACGAATCCACGGCTGACAAAGCCCCTGTAAGTTGGCTTATGACCTTCCCTCTCATTCACCGTTCTGTAAGTGCATAGAATTATTTAAGAGAGAAAAATTACTGCAGATAAAAATTGCTTCAGGGTTCCTGGCCTTGGTTGGTTGTGTTTCCTTCCAGGGCCGGCAGGCGGGGCACCAGGCAAGGCTTGGAAGCCGCGCCTCCCCCCCGCCGGGGCGCCCCCCCGCCGACCTCGCCTGGCCTCCCTTGCTCAACTTCCCCATCGCTTCAACTAAAAGTGGCCATTGACCTTTCAAGCTTTTGAGCAGTGATGCAACAGAATAGCATTTCAAAGAAAAATGGCTATCGAAATTTTGAATCCGGTTTTCCCATGAGTGTTATTTTTTGTTTGTTTTTCTGTAAAAAAAAAAATATAGGTCACATTCAAAGTGGGTCACGTTTCAGGGGCCGGTGTGCCTGGATGAAGGCTGGGAGGCCAGATGGCGTCTTACAGGGTGGAAGGTAAGGGTCCCAATAGGAAAGAAGTACTGAGATCAATCCGAACTCCGGGTCCCTGGCTTTGTAGGGAATCACAGAGACAAACGCACCAGGGCTGACACTCTGCACCCTACCCAGGCACAGGTAAGGGGCACCTCCTCTGTAGGCACAGCAGGTGGCCAGGGTGGATCTCCCGAAGGACAAGCTGGAGTTGAGCTGAGAAGGAAAGGAGGAGCTGGGCAAGGCTGATGCAGGGGACTACCGGTCGGAGCTCCAAGGGGGGTGGCATTGAAAGCAACCCGCGCAGCTTTAAGGAGGCGTTCAGCATCGCTCTTTCTTGGCTATCCAAGATGCTGGCGGAGGGGACAGCCTCTGGTTCGCTTCCTGAGGTGCCCGGGAGTGGTCGTCGACCTGGGCAGTGGCCTGCTAGCTCGGGCTCTGTGTGTCTTAGCGAGGGAGGGACCGACTTCGGAGCCCCGCCCCCTCCCCACACCGGTCCCGCCCCCGGTACTGAGGAGAGGAGGGTCGTGTCTGGCTGGCGCACAGCGGTGTGGATGGCTGGCATCAAGGTCCCCTCCTCCATGGAGGGCTGTGGAGAAGAGGGGCTGAGCACCTTCGCGGGACCGAGATGCTCAGCGGATGCGGACAGGGGCAGGTACTGGCCGCTTAAATGGGCATTGGATGGGGACTTCTCCTTGTCCCCGAGCACCCCCCCCCCCCGAGGTGCAGGGTCAGAGGAGGGCGGAGACGCAGGCTTCCACACCCGCAGCCACCGGCACCCGCACCGGCTCTCTCCACCCGGGTTCCCTTGAAGCCTGCGCAGTAGCGCCGGGGCCTCTTTAAAGCGCTGGCGGGGGCTGCGGTCACGTGAGGCGGATTCCTGGAAAGTTCCTGGAAAGCGGCCTCCGCCGCGGCCGGGCGGGGCGCGCGGGGCGAGAGGCGGGGAGCGAGGGAGGCGCGGCCGGGCTGGGGAGTCGCGCGCACACTCTGCTCCGGGGGACAGACGTTTAACTCTTGCCAAGTCTCGCCGCCTCTGCGGCTCGCGGGCCCTTGGGCTTTTTCCCCCTCTGAAGCATGAGCCTTTCCTCCCGCAGCCGCCAACGCTGCGCGGGTCGCGGACAGTGCGCGCCGGGGCTCCAGGCGCGCGGCCTCCAGATCTCTTGCGCCCGGAGCCCGGAAGCTTGCGGCAGGTACCGCTCGCGAAGCCCGAAGGTTCCGCCCGGGGTGGTGGGGATGGTGGCGGTGGCACAGTGACCGGGGAGGGTAGCCGGGTGCGAGCTCGGGAGCGGCGGACTGCGTGGGGCTTCCGCAGTTTAGGGCGCCCCTGGAGAGTTCAAGTCCGGGCACTGCCCCATCCGGACTCAACTGCCTCCACTCCCGGGTTCCTTTTCGGTCTCGAGAAATCTTTGGAGCACCCCCCCCCCAACAACAACTGCTATCCAAATTTATAATCCCAATAACCTGATCTCCCGCTCCACCCCGCCAGCCTCCGCCCTTGCTCCCCCACCCCACCCCTTCTCTTTTCGCCCATCTCCTCCGCCGCGGCTGGAGGGAAACCCGGCACTGGCGAGCAGGGGTGTCAGCCGGAGCGGAGAGGGGAGAGCTAGGCGACGATCCCTGGGATTTCTTTTCCCCTTTCTTTCTTTCTTCCTTCCTTTCTTCCTTCCTTCCTTCCTTCCTTCCTTCCTTCCTTCCTTCCTTCCTTTCTCTCTTTCTTTCTTTCTTTCTTTCTTTCTTTCTTTCTTTCTTTCTTTCTTTCTTTCTTTCTTTCTTTCTTTCCTTCTTTTTTTGTTTTTTTGTTTTTTGTCTGCCTTTGGCGCAGAAAAATCCTGCTGCTTCTACTGAGCGCAGAGCCGGTTGCATCCCCAGGCATCTCGTTCCACAAATAAACGTCACCCGGGGAACTCAGACGGACACCCCTCCTAACCCCCTTGCTCCCCCGCCCCGTGTCCGCTGGGGAGGCTGCCTGGTGCGGAGGCGGCAGTCGCCGTGGCGGAGGTAAGACCCAGTCGGTGGCACAGCCCGCTGCGCTCGCCTGTCGCGGGCTCAGCCCCAGCCTCATTTGGAGCTCCGGCGGGGGCTACATGCTCCGGCCGATTCCTCGACAGCGCCCGCGGCGGCAGCTGCAAGAGCAGCGGTCCGCGTTTTGGAGCGACCGCCGCTGCGCCCCCCGCGTCCTCGTCCGGAGCGTGCTCCGGGAAGCGGCAGGAGTAGGGGCGAGGCCGCCTCCGAGGCGGGGATGCAGCGGCTGGCGCGCTGCTAGCGCACCGCAGCACCCTCGGCTGGCGACCCAGTAGCCCTGCGGCGCTTTAGGCCGTGGAACCAGGTTTTGCCGGATGCATCCTCCCAAGGGCCCTGGGGCTGCTCGAAATGTAGGTTGGAAATGCCAAGTGCAGAGAACTGCCCTGTTCTTTATGTTTTATTTATTTTTTTTTCCGACTTGCCCATGACAAAGGCCTATCCGGACCCGCAGGTGACTGTTTCCTAGGCTGCCTGTGTGTAATTCCTGCACACAGTTCTTCGGCGGGAAAGCACCTTGTTTACTCTCATCCTGTCTCCCTCCTCAACCCTCCTCTCACTAACTTTAGTGTCTTGGATCTCTGCCCTTTTTACCCGTCTTTCCCCCAGAGTTGGGCAGGGCGTTAGCTGGATGCTCGGGGTTAAATGGTACAGAACACGCAGGCGGAGGAGTCCCTGGGATTTTCCACGTGTCTGTTTACCCACCCCCACCTCGGCCGGAGGGGTTCAGTCCAGACTGACCCAATCTCTGTCCCATTGTTTCTTCGCAGGCGATCTGTGGGTGACTGTGCCTGCGAGAGACTTTGCCATACCATTCTGCCGGAATTTGAAGAGAAAGAACCAGCCGCTTCCAGTCCCCTCCCCCTCCGCCACCATTTCGGACACCCCGCACAGTCTCCTTTTGGGGTACCCTGTGACTTCCAGGCAGCACGCGAGGTCCACTGGCCCCGACTCGGGCGACCACCTGTCTCAGACGTGTTGACTCATCTCCCATGACCCTGCGGTGCCTGGAACCCTCCGGGAATGGAGCGGACAGGACGCGGAGCCAGTGGGGGACCTCGGGGTCGCCGGAGGAACAGTCCCCCGAGGCGGCGCGTCTGGCGAAGGCCCTGCGCGAGCTCAGTCAAACAGGTAAGGAGCTGGCGGCTGGCAAGGAGTGCGAAACGGGGCGCCCCCATGCCCACCCCACCCAAGGCGGTGAGGGAGAGTGCGACTGGGACGCGAGCCCAGGTGGGGAGCACTCAAAGCGATGGAACTACGTCTCCTCGCGTCCGGTCTCGGCTCCGAGGGCCGGGAACCGCAGAGAGGGATGCCCGATTCTTAGGTGACCACAAAAGCAAAGTGGAGGGACGCTGAGGCTTGAGCGAGGGCCGGGAGCGAGCTGGGCTCATTTTAGAAATGCTCTCCCAGCGCGATGGAGTCTAGGCTGCTTTCAGCCGGGGCTCCGGCTCGCACCCGCGTGGGAGAAAAGCGGCCAGCGCCTCTCTTAACGCCGGGTGCGCGCGGCCAGTGGGCTGTGCTGCCTCCTGTCTGAGCTGCGTGCGCTCCCGGGCGCAGCCGCCGCTGCCGCAGCCCGGGATGGTGACAGCCAAGTTCTGACTGAGACCTACAGACTGTACCGATCGCAGTTGCGGGGTGGGGGTGGGGGTGGGGTAGCCTGGCCGAGTGCAGCCCGCTCTCCGCAATGATGCGGAAGCGCTCCCTGCATCTGAAAGAAGAGAAAATTATATTTTCTCCCAATAGCTCGAAAACAATTTGGGTCTTAAAAATCGGGCTTCTGAAAACTTAACCTTTGAGGCAAAACAACTTTTGTAGCAGTAGATCTTGAGAGAGGGAAAAAAAAGTTCCAGTCTTCCCTTTTGACCCTGGGCTTTCCTTGGGAAAGTTTCCGGGTAATATTTTTTTGTGGCGTTGGGGGGAGGGTGCGGTGGTGGGAAGAGCTGTCGGTTGAAATAGGGGGGCACATTGTTCAAAGTTATTATCTTGAATTACTTTTGTAAGTGAGATGCGGAACATGGAGAAGATGAATCAAATGGAGATTTCAGAGAACAGGGGTTATAATACAATTTGAACCTGGGCAAAGTCCAAAAGAATATAGTGAAGACTGTAAACTCTTTCTGCTCTTCCTCAGAGACTTAGCTAGTTGTAATCAAAGCAGTCAACAGTAGTGCCTTGTAGGGCTTCTAACAGAGGCTAAACGTTACAAGTTCTGGGGGATGGGGGGCAGGTCAGGGGGCTACCCACCAGTCGAAAAAGTTGCTTCTGTTTTTATTGGAATTACTGGAGATGAGTTTTCTACTTTGTCCCCTAACTTCTAATTTAGTTCTAATTTACTTAGGTTTTTGTTTCAGTTAAACTGTACTAAAAGTATCTTGCTTTTTTGTTTGTTTGTTTGTTTGTTTTTTGGTCAGCCAAATATGTCTGTCATGTTGCAAAAGTTATTTTGGATCATTAGAAGAAAACCTTAATATAATTTAAAGAAAAGCTACAGAAAATCATTTAAAAAGAAAAAAATTGGTTTACAGTTGTGCCTAGAATGGACTTAAGTTTTTATTAAATACCTACCAAAAGATTTGTAGTAGGCCTCAAAAACTTTCACTCATAGGCTTTAAAAAAAATAAGGCATAATAAGAGAAATCAGTTGAACATGGTGGTACAGGCCTATAAATGCCAGGACTTGGGAGGCGAATCCATAAGAACAAGAAGTTCAAGGTTATCCTTGGCTACGAAGTAAAATTGAGGCCAGCCAGTGCTGCAGGAGGCCCTGTCTCAAACAAAACAAAACAACTAGGAAAATGACTGCCAAGTACAGACCTTATTCTAAAAATTCTTAATAATAACTCTTTCACTTTCTCTTCTTTTTCTTTTTGAATGAAAAACCCCAGGATGGTACTGGGGAAGTATGACTGTTAATGAAGCCAAAGAGAAATTAAAAGAGGCACCAGAAGGAACTTTCTTGATTAGAGATAGTTCGCATTCAGACTACCTACTAACTATATCTGTTAAGACGTCAGCTGGACCGACTAACCTGCGGATTGAGTACCAAGACGGGAAATTCAGATTGGATTCTATCATATGTGTCAAGTCCAAGCTTAAACAGTTTGACAGTGTGGTTCACCTGATTGACTACTATGTTCAGATGTGCAAGGATAAACGGACAGGCCCAGAGGCCCCCCGGAATGGGACTGTTCACCTGTACCTGACCAAACCTCTGTATACATCAGCACCAACTCTGCAGCATTTCTGTCGACTCGCCATTAACAAATGTACTGGTACAGTCTGGGGACTGCCTTTACCAACAAGACTAAAAGATTACTTGGAAGAATATAAATTCCAGGTATAAGTATTTCTCTCTCTTTTTTTAAACACATGCCTCATATAGAATATCTCCGAATGCAGCTATGGAAAGAGAACTCAGAGGCCCTCCTCTGGAAAGCTGCGTAGAATTCTTTCTCATGGACAGTTGAGCTCAGTCTAATTTAAAGGTGTGAAGATGTAGCTAGGTATTTTAAAGTTCCCCTTATGTAGTTTCAGCTGAATGATGCTTTCTTTCCTATGGCTGATCAAGACCAAATGGCCCTTTTTAAATGAAAAGAAAAAAAAATGTCCCAAGGAAAGGCAAGAGAATATTCCTGTCAGAATGACTTGCCTTTTTTTGGGGGTCCCTATGCACTGGGTCAAAAGTCCAAGCACCATAGGAGAGAAAGACTTCCATGTGGCTAGCTGAAGGAGGAAAAGACCCTGGCTGACCCAGGCTTCAGCTCCACTTCTAGATGCCTGGTGATCAGTCTGTGTTAGAACATGTTATAGTTTGCATCCTGACGTATCTAGTAGGAGTTCCGTTTAAGCTGCTTGTATTTATCCCTCATTTTATGCAACTAATCAAATCAACCAAAAAAAAAAAAAAAAAGATTGTCACCGTGAGAGCCTGTATCTGTCTTTTTTACTACACGTATGAACTTCCCCTGTGAATGAGTACTGTAGCAATCCATTTCAAGGCAGCCTTACTTCAGAAACATTTCAAACTGGTGCAAACAGAAAAGACTTCTCTCTTTTCTTAAGGCTAAAGACAAGAATGTCACGCTACACAGGTGCAACTCAATCCTCGAAAAAAAAAAAAAAAAAAACCAATGCAGACAGAGACGTTTTCCCCCTTGACGTAGCTGTGAGTCCTAACCTATTGCCACTGAATTTTTTTTGGAAATGGCTTTAGAACTTTTCAAGTTGCCCCTGAATTGTCTGACCATGGCCATCAACAGCCGCCTCCCTTCTACCATGTAGAATACTATGACTTACTTTTCTTCCAGATATAGGGGGGGGTACCTGCCTGTTTTTCAAAGTGTTTATTTACTGCTGTTACTATTTGATTAGAATGTATTAAATAAAAACAAACCTGACTTTTACAAGTTGCACTCATTACTTTGAGTCATAGATGTCCATTTCCGTGCTAATAAAAGGTTGCCATAAAAACTCCTATCAAGTGAAATAAACTAAGCAATCAGCACAGGGTAGAACATTAACTCGATCACCTCCAAATAAGGCCTGCACCTGTTCTACGTGTTTTAGATAGCATGGTTTACAAGCTAGGAATTGTCAAGACTGTCTGATCGTGTGCAGGCCGGATGGGCATCATCCCCGTGCCTTCTGCCTTTTCAAAAGGAATGGTTTAGAAGTGACAAGAATTATGTCAGGATCTGAGCTTTAACAAGTCGAACAGACATGATACTAAATAAAAATGACAGGTTCTACGGCCGCTTTCTCTTGGCCACACAGTCTCGTGACTGCTGCAGTGTGCCATCTTTTCTGGAGTCTAGACACTTCTTGCTGCCCTTTACATTTTTTCTAGCCAGCTGTGGGTTCCTGTGTGCTGGGTAAAGGAGAACCTGGTGTATCGTGTACACACTCTGAGTGAGTAGGAAATTATAAAAATGCAGAATAATAGAACTTGCTTCTCACATATTTTACTTTGCAGTTTTTGAAATCCCCAGTTTTTTACCTCGAAGGAAACATTAAGCTTATCCGAACTGGAAGGATTGCTGGGTACGGTTTAGGAAAAGCCTACTCTTTAAAGAAGAGTTAGCTCTGCTGGTTGGTGGGGCAGTAACCTTCCCTTTAGGATACTTAGATTTACTTTTTCCGGATCTCCCTTTTGCACGCCAACCATTCTCTGGTAGAATGCTTGACTCCTGGGAAAACTCTCACAGGATCGGTAGCAAGGGGCTTTGTGGAATCCCTTTATAGGTGTCCTTAGATATTGGAAGTGACGAGGTGGTCACGAGGCACTTGTGTCTGTGGAATTATGACAAGCCCCATGGTATTGCATTCAGTGGCCTGCAGGTGGGGGGTGGGGGAGGATCCCAGATTCACTGCATTGGCCTGTGAAATGGGTAACCTTATCTTTCCTATCCTGATGGCGAGGACGTTGTTAAACATCACGGGACAGTTTTTTTTCCCTTGCTTTATAGTTTCTAATATTTATTTATTGAGTTCCTTTCGTGCCAGCTTCTGACTCAATACTTTATGCATATCATCTCATTTGATCCTCATAAGGACCAAAAGAGCAAAGTACAGTATTTATAGGAAGTGAATATTTCCACATCGATCCAGTTTAAGTCGGAGCAGGCTGTAATAGCAACCCTCAGCCTTTTTACTGTGGCCTCAACCAGACGAGTACAGATACCTTAATTAGTGTCACACACTCTCTCTTTTAAAACGTTTTCAAGAAATGATTTCTTTGTGTATGCGCTTATGTGCACACATGTGTATGTGCTTATGTGCACACATGTGCCATGTCCTAGATGTGAGAGGTGGAGCACTTGACTATACTCTCTTTCCACTGTGTGGGTTCCAGGATTGAACCTCAGGCTTAACCGGCAAGCACCCTCACCTGCTGAGATATCTTGCCAGTCCTCCAGTCAGTCTTGCCGATGACTTTCCTTGAAGACCCTGAAAGGGGAGCTCATGATAAGTGGTAAAGGGGCAAGATGAGGAAGGGGGGAAATGGAGTTTGCCCTTTTACTGAGTGGCTGCTAAATGATGCTAGTTATACACTGGTTGGCTCATTTACAAACAGAAACAAAACCGTGTTCACCCAAAGTATCCTCAACAGTCCGGACATTTTTTTTTTTTTTCAGTGTTGTTTTTCTGTGTGAGGTGGTGTGAAGCATTAGTAAGGATATTTATTATTGGTATTCTAATTGTTGCTGTTCTTGTGGAATGTCCTGTGTGGGGTTTGTTTATCCGCCCTCCCACCCCCACCCCTCGCCCACCGACTTAAATGACTGCTGTGAGTTTCTGTTCAGAGTGAGCAGGAGTGAAGGAGCGTGTGTCATCCCATCTAACGTGGAAAAATGACATCTGCTTTTTAGGGATGGTGACCCTGACTTGTGTGAGCTTGGAGGCCTTGCTTAGGGTTGTCAGTGTGAAAGTTTGACTTCATCATAATTACATAATCCAAATAGGTGACAGAAAGGGGACTGTCGGTTTTCCACAGGGTTTATTTTCTTGGGAAGGCTTTCCCCTGCTTTTAGAAAATTGTACCCTGCTTGGCGGAGGGTAGGAGACAGAGACGTCATCAAGTAATCCAAAGGATGGAATGTCCTGAGAGCAGACTGTGCCCTTCTAGTTGTGGGTTTGGGCACAGGGCAGGAGGGGCTGAGTGGCTGTGGGTCTAACAGCTGGGCTGAAGCCTCACTGGCTCCCAGAAGTCCTGTCCATCTTCTGGACCTCTCTACCCTCCCAGTGAAAGAATGTGGCTCTGGGCCTGTCATTCCCTCAGAGGCCTGTATGCTTCTCATCCAGTTGTTAACTCTGCAGAGTCTTGGCATCCAGAACACACTGTGTGGGTCACTCAGCTCAGGCCCTTTATATTAACCAGAACATTTCAGATTCAGGGATTAGAGAGCATTTGCCTGTGCCTTGGCCAGCAAATGGGCGACATTCAAACACAGAGCTCAGGTCCTGGATCAGCAAAAGCTCTGCACATCTGCCCTTGGTTTTAAAAAAAACTGCCTGTACCCTTTTTTGCTGCAGCTAATGTAACTCAAAACTTTCTTCCTCTAACATGCAGAATCAGGCTTCGGAATATCACTACAGGAGGAGACTTTCAATTCTTGTCTCCTTCTGCCCCATTCTCCAGGATTACCCCTTCTGCTGGATCCACTGTAGAGTGTAGATTTGAATTCCTTGATTTTTTTTTTTTTTATAGTTTTAGAGATTGAACATAGGCCTTTCCTCATGCTTGGCGAGCATCCTACCGATGAGCCACGTCTCCACTCCATCTCACTGTCTCTAATCTGTTTGCCGTTTTAAAACTGCAGTCCTCCGGTCCTTGCTGTGTGGTGATCTCATGACACCTCTGCCCATGGCCAGGGTGCACAGGTTGTATTCTCCTGTGCTTACCAATAGAGTCCGTTTTGGCTTTTGCCCCCTCTTACACACAGGTAGCTCCTGCCTTTCTCACACTCTTCCCAGGATGCTGTCTTTTTAGCCTATTAGATGAACCCTTGGTGGCTGTGTTATGGGAGGGGGATTCTAGTCTACTTGAATTAGGTAAATTGACAGATTTAGGGTCCTTAGGAGTAAATCTCTCTCTGTTTCTCTTTAGCTCTCTTCAGGATTTAAAAATCAAAGCTAGTTCCCAACACCACACGTCAACATTTATTTTTTTAAACTTGTTTATTTAAACAACCATAGGCTCCTTTCTCCCTAGTTTATGCTCCGTTAGGAAGGAAGAAAGAGAGTTCTTTTTCAGCTTGTTTGTAGCCGAGAGCGATCCTTGCAGCTCCCGTTTGGTCTTCTCTTACCTCTTCAGCTGCTGTTAAAGATTTTCTCCAGTTTTCCCTCTTGCGTGGTTTCCGAGTAAGTCACCTCACCTCGCACTCAGCTTAAGTGACAGCTGTTGCTGGAGTCAGCTTCTAAAAGCCCCGTTTGTCCCCAGTGCTTGGCTAGCAGGTCAGCTGAAGCAGAGTCATTGTGGTCTTCCTACCCCTGTCCTCAGCTCTGTCCACAAGGGAGGTCTGAGTTGCCAAGTCTGACGGGGACTCACTTCAATAAACATTTACTGAGCCATAAAAATAAAACTGCTTTTATAGACAACTCTCGCTTTGAACTTCATTCTTCACTTAGAGAAAACGGCGTTGCGCTGTCCTAGAGCAGGAGCGGTTTGTGATGGGTTATACAGTCCTTCTGTGGTCTCACCTCAGTGAAAAACAGAGAGAAGGGAGACTCAAGCCAGCCTTGGTGTGAGCTAAGAAAATAACACCAGCTGCCTTCCTCTTCTGTTTCAGCCCAAGTTCCTCCCAGAGAGCCCCTTCGCTGTGGCAAGACATAATTTGCTAGTTAAATCATCACAGGACTTCATAGATTTTTCCTAGACTGTCCCAGTTTCCAGTCATGTTAAGATAAAAAGATAGCCTTTTTGCCAAATGGTTTTCCCCTTCTGTTCTTTTGGCAGCCCTTTTCCTGTTTAGATTTTGATCTTGTGTCGCTGTGATCTTTCTCAGTCTTTAAGGAAAACCCTCCCCTTGTTGTTTCTGCCCAGGGAAGTTGTTTTTCCACTTTGACTTTCGTCACCCGGATGAACTGCGCTCCCTTAGGTAGTGGACTTAATTGTGGGTTTGGTCAGAAAGTGCGTTCTTGTTTGGTGCTCTTTATTTACTTACCTGTTCTCCATTATCTGTTGAGATAAAGGGCGGAGAGAGTGGTTGCGGTTAGACAAACCCTCTGCTTCCTCTCTGTTCATTCTCATTTACTGGAACCACTGTCAGAAAAAATGGCTCCTTGTCATTATTATTTAAGGATATTGAAGGCAATAAAACGGGTGGGGAAAGTGAAGGGGTGGAGCATCACTGGCATGGGGAGGGGCTCGCCTGAGTCCGTCATTAGGTACCCAGAGCCCTCAAAGACCAGTTTATTTCTCTCACCCTTTGGACCAGTCCTCGTTCTTGAGCTGGGGTAGGACTGAGCAATTGTAGGAAAAAAAAATCTTCTAAGACAGGGTCTGAGGTATCCCTAGACTCGAACTCACTGTATAGCAAAGGGTTATATCCTGAGCTCCTGATCATCCTGCCTCCTGAGATTACAGGTATGTGCCTGGACCAAGCCTGGTTAATGCTGCGGAACCAGGGTTTCCTGTGCTCCAGGCAAGTTCTTGTCCAAGTGAGCTACTTTCCCAGAAACTGGCAATCATTTTTATTCAAAATTGTGTTCCGCTTTTATATTGGTGAATGTTACCTTTTCCTGGAGGACCAGGCACTTTCTGACTCAGCATCTTTTTCTCATCCATTACAGTGTTATCTGTAGCGTTTAGAGTTGGGGAGAATGAATATCTTCAAGTCTTTTATTTTTTTAATGCTATATTATATGTGTGTATATGTAATGTGTGTGTGTGTGTGTATCTGTG